CTTCCCCTCCCCACAACAGACATCCTGCGAGGTAGGCAGGGCTGAGAGAGCTCTGAGAGAACTGTCCTTGAGAGAACAGCTCTGACAGAACTATGGCTTGCCCAAGGTCACCCAGCCTGGTGCAAGTGGAGGAATGGGGAATCAAACCCGGTTCTCCCAGATTAGAGTCCGCGCACTTAACCACTACACCAAACAGATGCTGTGATGTCACTTTTGAGTGATCACATCACACTTCTGGGACATCACAGTGTCCATGACACTATAGGAATCCCTCCCTGATCTCTATGGCAAATACAGGAGGTGATTGCTTGGAACTGATGTCACCAGACGTTATTTCCTGGAAGTGATGTTTAGGCATCAGGCTGCATCAGCCCCCTCCCCTTTCCCCTTCCTGCTGCTCAATAGAGCGAACGTGAGGGATGGGGCAGCACCGGCAGGAGTTTGCCGGCTCTCTGTGGCCAATTGGAAAGCCTAATCGTCACTATCCCACTTTTAAAAGGCAGAGTAAACCTCTAAGGTCGTGGTCACTGCAACTCCCGTGACAGTGATTTCCATGCATTCATGAAGGAGAACGGAAGTGGTACAGTCTGTTCTATCACCTCAGAGGAGGACCACTCATTCTGCCTCCCATTATAGAAAATACCCTTTCAGACAATCTGGACAGCTTCATCACAGTTGCCTTTGAGCCAGGAAACACCCCTCCCCCAATAAATTAGAACACTGACTAATGCAGAAGTTAAATGGGAACCATAGCCCACTCTGCATCTAGCATTTGCTCCGTTGCTTTACCAAACCCACACTGGAACAGTAAAAGATGCGGCTCAAAAACACATTCAGATAACCCAGGGCCAATGCCGTACTGACTGCAGAGTCACCCCTGAATGGCCATAAAACAGCCTAACCTTTCTGGCCAATTGTCCATCATACTGACCTTGGGCAAGTCGTAGTTCTGTCAGAGCTGTTCTTGAAAAAGAGCTGTTTCTGTCAAGAGCTCTCTCAGGCCCACCTACCTCACAGGGTGTCTATTGTGGGGAGGGGAAGGGAAGGGAAGGGAGCAGGGGTCATTTCGTAGAAAAAGAGCTAGGGGAACTCATTAGCATAACTCATTAGCATATGCCACACCCCCTGACATCAGGGGCCCGGCGGTGGACCTGCAAGGCCAGCGGGAGAGCGAGGAAGCCCCGCCAAGGCCCTCCTTGGCCCCAGGCAGGCAGGGGTGGGGAGAGGCGGGGAGGAAGCAACTTACCCTCCCTCTTCTCCTGCCTCCTCC